GTTGCCATTCAAAGTTTTGATCAAGTCTTGAGTTGCAGGGAACTTGGAATCGGAGTAGTTTCTTATAGTCCTCTTGGACGAGGATTCTTCTCTGGAAAAGCCATCGTAGAAGAGATTGGCGATGGAGATTTTCGCAAGGCAAGCTTTGGATATACTCTTTACAGTTCAAGCTGATTCTAACTAACATGTTTTCTCGAGCAGCTAGTCCCCAGGTTCCAAGGTGAGAACTTGGAACACAACAAAGTCATCTACAAGAAGCTGTGCAAGATAGCGGCCACGAAGAACTGCACCACAGGGCAGCTTGCTCTGGCTTGGGTTCAACACCAAGGCGTTGACGTTGTCCCCATTCCAGGCACCACCAAGCTCAATAACTTCAAGGAAAACATTAGCTCGCTGGACCTGACCCTTTCAAAGGTGGAGATGAACGAGATTGAAAATGCGGTTGCCGGAGTGAAGGGAGATCGCTATGGTGATATGTCCATGGCCAGGACTTGGCGATTCGCGACAACACCACCTCTTTCTTCCTAAGTGCCGTATAGAGCAGTTTATAAGATCCTTTCTCGAGCCAGGGGAATTCACTCGCGAGTTTTGGCCGATCTCTGTGAAGAACTGTACGAAGGTCTCCTCGTGCTCAAGCTCACGAAGTTAGATCCAGCGGACTCATGGTGGTCTGGAAAACGCGGGAAGAAGCTTCCCTGAAGAACTAGAATGTACCCGCATACTTGGAGGCAAATGCTTCAGGTAGACTTCATTGGGTTTCTTTCGAAATCACGGTGAAGTTCAATACAGTGATCCACACAGGTGGGTTATCCATGGAGCTCTCGCAACTGCAGTCCAAATTGAATGGATTCGTCATCTGTTGATGGTAACTTGGTTATGGATCGTGAAGCTTCATTATCATGAGCATGATCTTTTTAAGACTGTTCCGAAGCTGCAAAATTTATAATTTCTTCAAGCGCGAGAGAAAGAACCACTCTGATTCAATCAGCTCACCCTCTATTTTTCGCCGCGGTCGGCCGAGGTCGGCCGACACCCGAACGGGGAATTCCGACCGCGTTCGGCCGTTCCGACCGGTCGGACCGGTCGGATATTTTCCATGGCGATGGAGGTTAGAGTAAAGCTCGGCTCTCAGGCCCTTCAAAACAGGGGATCTTCAATTCGCAAACCGACCTAAACATTGAGATCAACTCGATGTTGATAGTAGAGATCAATGCAGTCGACCTGGAGTCTTTTCAGGCAAGCAGCACGGACGTAAGCGGGATCGCCTCGGATGGCCATGCCACCCGCCTTCGGGAAGAGTCACTCCAGGTTTTGTAGCGAGTTGGGCTTTGTGCCCGAATGCCTTTGATCGCCTGAGGCAAGAGCAAAACGAAAAGAGGCAAAAGAAAGAAGCCGTGCAAATGAAAATCTCATTGGTATATGGCCGTGATTATAGTATGCACAAATTTTGAAGGTTGGGGCAATGAAGGAGCTCGTGGAGGAAGGAAAAGTGAAATACTTGGGACTCTCGGAAGTGTCGGCTGGAGATATCCGTGTAGTTTACGCGATTCATCCAATCACTGGTGTTCAGATCGAGTGGTCTCTTTGGAGCCGTGACATTGAGGAAGAAATCTTTGCAACTTGCGGACGAGGATACTTCGCCGTGGTGGAAGAAGTGATTTCAGTTTTACTCCTCTTTTCTCAAGCATGCCGAGGTTTCAAGGAGAGATGGAGCGGAACAAAGCCATATACGAGAAGTTCTGCAAGATAGCTGCGAGAATGAATTGCACTTCCGGGCAGCTTGGGTCTAGCACCAAGGCGACGACATCGTTCCCATCCCAGGCTCCAGAACTTCGAATACTCTCTCCAAGGAAGGTCTGGAGATTGAAAGAAAGAATCAACAACTACATGGCGTTTTTTCCTCGCCAACTCTCGCACGTTAGACAGTTAGACAGTGGATCCAAAATGCACATCTGGATCTTCACTAATAATAATTTGTCTTTGTACTAAATTAATTTCTCTACTTCCTGGAAGGGACAAAGGAAGCGGATACGAAACAGCCCGTGGAATGGAGGTCTTTATATTCACCTCCAATTGCGGATGGCAAGTAGCTCGTCTTCTCCAGTTGCATCACCCAAAAGACATTTGGCCTCTATTTCTCTTTGATATTGGCTATGGCAGTTCCAAAGGTAAAGCTGGGGTCTCAGGGCTTGGAAGTCTCAAAGCAGGGGCTTGGATGCATGGGAATGTCCCATAAAGCTTATGGCCCTCTAAAGCCCGAGGCCGAAATGATCGATCTCATCCGCAAGGCTGTTGATTCTGGTGTCACATTCCTGGATACATCGGATATCTATGGGCCACATACCAACGAAGTTCTTGTTGGAAAGGCAAGTATCTCCACAGCTTATATGCTCTTTCCTTTCCAATGCATTGGCCATTTTTTCAGGCAATTCAAGGCATTCGGGACAAGGTGCAGCTCGCTACAAAGTTTGGAATAACTTTTCCCGACAACAGCAAGTTGAGTGGTATGGCCATCCGAGGGGATCCCGCTTACGTCCGTGCCGCTTGCGAGGCCAGCTTGAAGAGGCTCCAGGTCGACTACATTGATCTCTACTACCAGCACCGCGTTGATCAGAGTGTTCCCATCGAGATCACGGTACTTCCATTTTTTTTAATCGATAGCATTGTGTTTATGAATTTAAAAAAAAATTCATGCAGGTTGGAGCGATGAAAGAGCTCGTTGAGGAAGGAAAGGTGAAATACTTGGGACTTTCCGAAGCATCTGCTGAAGATATCCGCCGCGCTCACGCCATCCATCCAATCACTGCAGTCCAGCTTGAATGGTCGCTATGGACTCGTGACATTGAGGAGGAAGTAGTTCCAACTTGCAGGTAAGATCAAGTTTCTTAGTGCATCATGGATCACGTATAACACGTTTAGGCCTGGATAATTATCAGGGAGCTAGGAATTGGAATCGTTCCATACAGTCCTCTAGGACGAGGATTTTTCTCAGGGAAAACGGTGGCGGAGGAAATTGGGGACGGAGATTTCCGAAAGGTATGTATCTCCATTCATAATCTCGATATGATTATCACATGATATATAACAGACCATTCCAAAGTTTCAAGGAGAGAACTTGGAGCGCAACAAAGTCATATACGAGAAGCTTTGCAAGATAGCTGCGAAGAAGGCGTGCACTCCGGGGCAGCTTGCTCTGGCTTGGGTCCAGCACCAAGGTGACGACGTTGTTCCCATTCCAGGCACCACCAAGCTCCAAAACTTCGAAGAGAATCGAGCTTCTCTTGGAGTGTCTCTCTCCAAGGAAGATCTAGAGGGGATTGAGAGCGTGGCGTTTCCCGGTTCTTTCCAAGGAGAAAGAGTTAGCGACACTTTTAAGACAGCTACATGGCGTTTCTCGTCACCACCTTTGCCGCAGTAGATTAGGTTGACATGAAAGCTCAGCTACCTTTCTTTCTCCATTTCTGAGAACAGTACTGAAAACCTGTTATATTAAAATAAAACTTATACGTTTAAATCAAAGAGTTTTGGCGGCGGGGCCTGTGTTGAACGTCGTGTCGATCGGTTGCGAAGTCGTCGATGTGTTGGCATTCGGGAGGCCGAGAACACTGCGATTCGTATATGCGAGTGGTGACGAGAGTGGAAGCCCTGTGCATAACGACGCTTGGAACTATCTGTATGCGACTAACACTATCCAAGAGACTGGAAGAGGGACTTGGAACAACTCATGGGGGACTTGATTGGAATACAAGTTAATCAAAAAATGTTTGCGTTTCTGTTAGTGTGGCTCCTTTATTTCAATCAGCGTCAGGTTCACTCTGACGCCTGACTGATTTTGAACACTCTGATCGTCTAGACAATGGAGTGGTCTGTGTTGGGGAGAACATGTTTCTGGCTGCCAGTAATTATGCGTCCTCCGTTAAAACTCTTTCCTCAAAAAGTCGAAAGAGAATCAAGGTTGGAGCAACTCGCTCAACAGAAGTTTGTGTGGAAATCTGTTACTCTCGAAAAGAAGAATGCTGTTGATCAGTGTTGTGTGATTTTTTGTCTTTGCTAAATTTCGGAATGCTGCTTTCCTGTATAGAGCTCTTCAGTTTTGCCGACACTCCGCTTTCTCGATCTCTTTAGCAAGACGATCTGGGGAAAGCAGATGAAGATTTTGGAGAGGCAGTGCTACAAGACCATGGTCTCGGCAAACCCAACGACAAGAACTCGATCCTGCTGAGGGGGAATCCGGGATTGGAAAGACTGCGTTTCTTCTATACGTCCTCGTGGATCTAACAGCGAAGGTTCTTCAGGACCAAAGGTGGCAACGTCTACTACTCTCAACGGCTATCGTGTCTCAAGCTACGACGATGTGTAACTTGACCAGGTGGTTCCTTGCCGATGGATCGCTTCCTGACCTTTTGGTTGACCTCAAAACAGGCATTCGCTTCCACGCCGGTAAGGGCGAATTACAAAGATTTTGAGGAGTCGTAGGAAGTCTTCCCAAAGTGAAAACGAAGTATCGGCAGTAGGGTGGCATACCATGGAGAGTTTTGGAGGACGTCGATCGTTCAGAGCTAACCAAAGTTATTGGAGGCGTATCGTCTATGCAAGAACTCGTTTCCGTGATCACACAAGAGCGAGAAGGCGTGTTTCCAGCACTCGATCTCCTCTATATGAAGGTGGTCGTAGGGTATGAGGACTCTGATCTCATGTTTGCATCGCCTTACGTTAAGCACGCCATCTACGAGGGACTTAGGGACTAGCACAACGTCGAGTTGCGGCGTTTCCTCCAGCTCAAGTCGTCCTGGGACCATTTGGAGCTCTTAAGAGTGCATTGCTTGGCAGCCTGGCAGTTCACGGCCAAGACCTCATGCTAGAGGCAAGATTGAAGCCATAGCAAGAAGCAAAGAGTGTGCAAGCAAGTCCAAGACCAAGAACCAAGTTTTGGGTAGTTGATTGATGAGTTTTCATATGCTTTTCTCATCAGCTTTCCATGCTCATCATCTCAGACTAGCTAGGCACGATTCAGGCTTAGATTCAGACTGGAATCAGCCGCCTGATCGTGAGTGGGAGTGTTAGAGGTAGAGATGACGTGGCAGTAGTTATGCCCACGTGGCAGTAGCTTTATGTATATGTACACAATCATATACAGTTATATATATACAGTTCTTCCTCCTCGTGTGCGCGTCTCTCCGCTGCTAACAGATCGGCCTTCCAGAAGCACGCAACCGGGGTGCGGATGTACCGAGCTCGCGCGCTTTTCGATCAGGTGGGCTATCGCCAGGCGAAAACCTTCATGGCGCTCTTCGAGTTTGGGGCTCCTAGGACCATCGCGGAAGCGGGCGACGCCCCGGATGACTGCTAGGACGTGATCTTTTGGCTGGAGAATGTCAGGAGCGAGGGATCTGTCCAGGCTTTCAAGCTCTCGCACCTGTGTGACGAAAGCACGGTGTTGGTGCTGCAATTGTTCATGGCCTCGTACCGAGTGCAGTGCTGGAAGTCATGGAGAGATTTGGCGTGACGAGCGGTAAACAAGTAGAGCTATACATTGTGACACCGTGTTGTGACAACGGCGGAGCTGTTTGATGATGCGTGGTAGCACTGGAGGAGGATCAAGGATGATGGAAACGAACTTACACTGGAGGACGAGACAAAGCCCCAGGGCATTCGTCAGTTTGCTCTGGCTATGGACAATGTGTAGCTATCCCGACATATTGCAGATCGATCACAGTTTCTCTGATGCTTATGTTGTTACCAGTAATCACCACAAGAACAGTGGCCATCCTGGAAGTGGTGAAAGCGCTGAGAATCCCGCATGAAGATCTCTCGTCCAGCAATCCTGGAGACGAACTTTGCGGCGGTGTGGCAGTCCCCGCACACCCGGAGGTTCTTGATGATCCGCAACGAGCTTCCTGCGGGTGTGCTGAGAAGACCAAAAGCTATGGCGAGTTTCTCGCTGTGGAAGCAAAGCAGCCTCTCTTTCTGCTCCTCGCTCACGTTGAGCAGCACCAATTTCGTGTCTGGCACGTAGCCCGACCCCTCCATTTGCCTCGTCAAGCTTTCCAGCAATCCGTAGATCTCAGCTGCTCGAGGATGCGACTTATCGCCGGCCCAGAACTCGTGAACTCGGCTGTTCACTTCGATGGAGCTCCGTCCTGGATCCTTTTGCAATCCCATTGCCTTCATCGCACTTCTCACGCGATCGACTTGATCCCACTCTCCAGCAGCAGCGTAAATGTTTGACAGGCTCACGTACGCTGCGGGGACCGGTTCTAGCTCCAACACCTTCTCGGCTGCTCGTTTGCCTCGCTCGGTGTCGCTGTGGACCTTGCATGCCGCCAGGAAGATCGCCCAATTCATAGCAGTCGCCTGGAACGGCATCCTCCGGATCATAACCTCGGCCGCTTCCAAGTCACCCGAGCGCCCGAGAAGATCGATCATGCAGCCATAGTGCTTCTCTCCTGGCTCCACTCCAAACTCTTTGGTGATGTCGAGGAAGAAGTCCCATCCCTGTTCTACCAAGCCGGCATGGCTGCACACCGAGAGCACGCACAAGAGGCTGACGCCGTCCGGCTTGGAACCGTCCTGTTGCATCCTCCAAAACATCAGAAGAGACTCCTCCGAGTGGCCGTGGTGAGCATAGCCTGAGATGATCGTCGTCCACGCCACAGTGTCCCTTTCGCTCATTCCATCGAACACTTCGTGTGCTGCTCGTAAGTTTCCACACTTTCCATACATGTTGATGATCCCAAGGCCGAGAACACCGTCGCTGGAGTCGTAGCCGCACTCTTGGATCCGCCGGTGAGCGAGCCGGCCCTCGGCAGCCGCGGATAAAGTCGCACAGGCTTGAAGCAAGAATGCAAAGTAGCTCCTGTCCGGCTTTGTCCCGTCGAGCTGCATCAACCTGTAGAGCTGGATGACGCTGCTGCAGCGGTCATGCTGGACGAGCGTCGTGCTGATGTTGGTCCAGGAGATCACGTCCTTGACGGCCATCTTCTCGAAAACGTTCCAAGAGTCTTGGACGCTCGAGCAGCGGCCGAACATCCTGATTGCTGCGTTTGCGACGTTGATGCTAAAAGCATAGCCGGTTTCCAGTATGCATTCGTGCACGCTTCGCCCGGCTGCTAGAGCGTCTGGACAGCCAAATGCGTCGAGAACCGAGATGTAGCCAACCTCGTTGAGCTTCACGCCATGTAGAGTCATCTCTCGAAACAGCTGCAGTGCTTCCCTGTAAAGATCTTCCCTTGAGTAAGCAGACATGAGAGCAGTCCAGGAAACCAAGTCTTTCCTCTCTAGTCCCCTGAAAACTCTGGTGGCCTCGTCCAAACAACCGGCTTTTCCATACATGTTGACGAGAGCTGTGGCCACCACTGTGTTGGATTCCAATCCGGCCTCGAGCACGCACGAGTGGATCAACTTCCCGAGTCGCAAGTCTGCCAAGGCACCACCACAAGCGTTGAGCGTCGCCACGAAACAGATCTTATCGGGCAACACGCCTTCTTGCTGCATCTCCCGGAAGAAACGAACGGCTTCGGGTTTGCACTGCTCGATCTCGGCGTAAGCCGCGATCATGGTCGTGTACATGATCACGTTTCGATCGTGCTTGGCCTGGTTGAAGACCCTCCTCGCGTCCTCCACGCTATCGCACCTGGCATACATGTTCATGAGAGCAGTGTTCACGACTACGTTCGAAAGCTCGAGATTGTGCTCGCAAATGCAAGCGTGAATCGTCTTACCATAGTCGAGGCTCCGGCAGGCTCCAAGAACCGTGACGAACACCACCCCGTCCGGCCTAGCAGAGGCCTCGAGCAGCATCTCCTGGAACAGCCGCAGCGCCTCTTGCATATACCCTCTCCGGGCATATGCCGCAATAGCGTTAGTCCACAATAGAACTCCCCACTCTGACTTGTCAACGGAAAGCTTACCAGCTGTGTCAATCCGATTGTTCTTGACATACATCTGGAGCAGCAAGTTCCCCAACAATCCGTTCCTTTGAAATCCGCTCCGAGAGATTTGCTCGTGGATCCTGATGCCGGTAGAAAGAGAGCTCAGGGCGATGGCCGTTTTGAGCAGCTGGGCGTAGAGGGTGATCTCCGGAAAGAGCTCCGCCCTCTCCAGATGATCCAGAACATCTTCCAGCTGCTGTTGCTGCTGGATTCTCTCGATCAGGCTGCCCCGGAACTCCCCAGTTCGCCACGCATTGTTCGAGGGATCAATGCAAGTGCTCATTGCTCTCTCCAAAGGAATCCAAGGCCACCTCACAAATCTTTGAAGGACCGCGCCAGACTTAAGGAGCATGGCAGAGAACGGGTTGTCGCTGCCTGACTGAAAATGGTACGTGCTGGCCTCACAACTTCTTTTCTGGACACAAAGGTCATCAGTCATGAAGGAAATTTTTGATAAAATAAATTTGATTAAGAAAACAACTAAAGGTATAGAAAAAGTAGCACTATCAAAAATTTTTTTCTCAGTTTTATTATAATTAAAATTGGTAAATAATACTAAATTATATAAAGCAGTGTTTCCAGAATGTTTAAAAACTTTTAAGGGTATGGGAATGTCAGACGAAGAATTACTATTTTTGCACAGCCAAGTGCACTGTATATTGTATTGACTCTTAATTTGACATATAAAAAGTGTGTTCTAAACGTTACTTTAATAATCTATGTTGAGAGTCTGTTGCTTGCAAGTTTGAGTATTCGTGCGCTGCCAAGCTCTACAGACGGATGCAGCTCGCTTTAAAGCTACAGATGAACGATCGGAGGTAGCAACAAGCACTTCATCATCTCGGCTTGAGACTCCTCTTCTTTTTCTCTGCGGCACACTTCTTCCTTGTGTCTCGCAACTGAAGCCTCCACAAAAGGCAGGCTAGCCTGAAGGAGACGACCGAGCTCCCTGCGGTGTGCTACCTTGCTCTCTTCGCACTTCTGGGCCACATAACGCAAAACTTCGAGAGGATTCGCCATCTCCAAGTCCGTCCCGATGACAATGAATGAATGAGACACATTGATGTGCATCCTCCAGCTGAAAACATGGCTCCAAGCCTTGATCATCTCCAAACGGGCCTCGTCCGATGCAAGCATATTCTGCAGCCAGACGTTGTCCGGATACTTTGCAGCTACTGTGCGCGCTACAGCCCAAAAGAGACGAGCCCCTGTTCTAGCGATTGCAGGCTTAAGACGATCATCACGACTTCCCTTATACAGTGCCTGAGCAAAGCGACTAAAAGAATCCTTAGCTTCCCCTGATTCGAAGCTATTGAGTATCACATCTACATCCTCTGGATGCGGCACACTTTTGTGCGTCTCCCCAAACACCTGGTTGTACTCTGCCTCTAAGATGAGTATCCCCTCCACCACAAGCATGACCTCGGGGCAGCCTATAACAGCAAGTGCATGGTAGCACTCAATCTCATTGCTCACGCTGTGCGTTCTTGGAGAACCCTCCGCCATCCAAACCCTAGATTAAAGGGCCTCTTATATAAGTAGTTACTTATCAATGGAATCTATGTATGTTCTTTGAAAGGAATGACTTGGTACTGCTCCTTCCAGAGATTTACTCGTGGATCCTGGTGCCCGAAAAAGGCATCAGCCGGGTGTAGATCTAGAGGGTGATCTCCGGGAAGACCTCCCCGCGCGTTGGAGGGATCAATGCAACTACTCATCGTTCTCTCCAGGGGAATCCAAGGCGACCCAAGACGATACTTCCCAAATCTCTGGAGCACCGCGCCCTAAAGAGAGGGAGGGAGCATGGCAGGCAAAGGAGCGAAGAATGCGTCGTCGCTGCCCGGCGATGATCGCGACGACGACTGAGATTGGTACGCGCTGCCTGGCAACTTCTTCTCTCTCCCTGGACGCAAAGTCGCTCGCCACAGCGATCAAGGAATGCACCTCCAAGAAATCCGTGCTGGAAGTTCACACCAGGATTGTCGAGCACGGGCTTGGCGGCGATCTCTTCCTGAGCAGCGCCATCGTCCACAGGTACCTCAGCTGTGGCAGCGTCTGGGATGCATGGAATCTCTTCTCGCGGCTCCACGAGAGAGACGTGATCACTTGGACAAGGCTGATAGCAGCATTTGCACAGAAAGGGCATTTGCAACCAGCACTCCTAGTGTTTCGAGAGATGCTGCTCCAGGGAGTTTTCGCGGACAGCATCACCTTCGTCACCCTCCTCAACTGCTGCGCGAAGTTTAGAGCTCTTGATCAAGGGAGAGAGATGCACACTTACGTGCTAGAGAAAGGATTCGACGCCATCCCACGGGTGGGGAACTCGCTTGTGGATCTCTACGCAAAGTGTGGGTGCCTCGACGACGCTTGCGTGGCCTTCGCGAGCCTCTGGCAGCCCGACGTGATCTCCTGGAACACTCTCATCGCCGCCTATGCGTCTTGCTCGGGCTTCACGGAAGCTCTCGGCGTCTACCGGCGGATGGAGCTCGAGGGGATGAAACCTGACGCCTTCACTCTCGTCACCATCCTCAACGCTTGCAGCGATCCGGCCACCATCGCCAGCAGCATCGTCAAGGAGATGCACGAGAGGATCGTCAGCCTGGGAGTGTCCTGCGAGACTGTCGTTTGCAACGCTTTGGTGAGCATGTATGGAAACGGAGGCCAACTTACCACCGCCAGGAGCGTGTTCGAGGATTCGTGCGCCTCAAAAGACGTGATCTCCTGGAACGCCATCATCTCCGGGTACACGCTCGCGGGGCTCAACTCGGAAGCTCTTCGGCTCTACCGGAAAATGCAGCTCGAGGGCCAGCTTCCAAACGACGTTGCCTTTCTCTCAATCATGAACGCTTGCACGGGACCAGTCGACTTGTACACCGCGAGGCTGATCCACTCCAACGTTGAGGAGAGCTTCGCGACGAGCGGCAGCCGGGAGAACGAAGCTCAAGTCCGGAACGCCCTGGTCAGCATGTATGGGAGGTG